GATAGGATTGGCCATTTTGTAGCAGACAGTCCTACAGTCTACTATGTCAGAATGATAAATGAAGAACGGTGTCACATTCATTGCCAAAAAGAACACTTCAAGATCTATCCTGAAGTACTATACTGCCAATTATAGGATAATATCCATATACCTAAAGTGACCAGTCTTTGGACAGGACAAGGGGATAGTGCATGGTTTAAAATCAGGAAAGGTGTCTCTCAGGGCTACATCCTTACATCATGTTTATTCAATCTGTATGCTGAGCAAGTAATCTGAAAATTTGTACTATATGAAAAGGAATACGACATCAGGCTTGAAGGAAGACTAACAATCTGTGATATAGGAATACATATTTTTTTTGCTTGTTCAAAGTGAAGAAGACATGAAGTACTTGCAAAAATCAAAGATTATAGGGAACAAATCCTTACAGCAAGGATCATTCCCATCCCCTCCATATACAGAGTAAACAGGGATGGGCAACTTAGACATTGGCTACCCAAAATGGGAGGGCTACAAAGGCAAGAAGTGACTGACTTACAAGCTTTCAAGAGGGAACTTAGATTCAGAGGGCAGGAAGGAAAGTAGAATCTCCACTGAGTAGTATCCAATCTGTCTAAGCAGGGCTGGTGAAAGGAAATGTGGATGGGTCTCTTGAGATACAAGAGTGAATAATTGTTATCGGGACTGATTGTGAGGGTTGGAAATGTAAAGGTTATGTAGCAAGGAGGGGAGTAATTAACTTTTCAGCCTAGGAGTGGAGGTGCCTGGAATCATCAAGGGAGAAGAGCGGACAGACGGACCCTACCCAGAGAAGCAGTGAAGCCTGAGATGGAGGCAGAGACAATGACGTGGGGAGATGGAGTGGGGAGATAAACTTCATTATGGATTCTACTGTAACATAAAAAACAAACAAAAAAAAATATTCAAACTGGACTAAAAATCAGCATCATGATAAAAGGAAAAATGGCTGAAGTTATCAAGGAATTCATTTTACTTAGATCCATAATCAGTTCCCTCTGAAGCAGCAGTCAAAATATCTAGTGTATTTCGCTGGGCAAATAGGTTGCCAAAGATCTCTTTAAAGTGAAAAGATAAGCATGTCACTTTTAGAACTAAGGTGTGCTGATCCAAATCATGGTATATCCATTTGACTCATATGCATAGGAAAGGTGAACAATAAACAAGGAAGACCAAAGAAGAATTGATGCCTCTGAATTACAGTGTGAGTGAATAATATTGAATATACTATGGACTTTCAGAAGAAAGAGCAAACCTGTGTTGTTTAAGTATATTCAGGATGCTCTTAGAAGCAATGATGGCAGGTCTTTTCATGTAGAAGTCCCTGGAGAAGGACATTATGCTTGATAAAGTAGAGGGTGAGTGAACAAGAGTAAGACCCTCTATGAGATGAGATGACACAATGGTTGCAACAATGGTTCCAACATGACAATGATTGTGAAGGTGGTGTAGGACTGGGCAATGTTTTGTTTTATTGTATAGTCACTGAGTTGGGATTTATTCAATGACACTTAACAACAACAGAAACAGCAATAAATCATCACAATGGTGACATACATATTTTTACATTGGGGTTCTAACTGCAAGGTGAGTTGTTTAAACCCACCAGCTCCTTCATGGGAGAAAAGATAATGCTGTCTACTCCATTAAAGATTTATAGTCTCAGAAATCCTAAGAAGCAATTACACTTTGTCCTAGAGAATTGCTATGAGTCAGAATGGATTCAAGTACAGTGGGTGGACCCATTTCACCTCAAAAAGGATCTCATTTTCATCTATTGTCCTCATAATGCCCTTTGTAGCATAAGAATCTAAGAACCATGTGTTGCATTTGGTTATCATATATCTAAAATCTCCTTCAGTCTGAGACATTCCTCAGTCTTTCCTTTCATGACCTTAACATTTTTGAAGATTACTGTTGTTGTTGTTAAGTGTCACTGAGTCAGTTGCATCTCATAATGACCCTGTATAAGGTTTCTGAAATACTGCCAAATTTGTGGTCCAAACTGATTTTATGGTCCAGTACTTACCCTACAAAACTGTAGGACTCCTTTTGAAAATTAGCAGCCCATTATGTTGTATAATGTCACTCAATGTGCATTTATTTGACTTTTATAATGATTTGATTCAGGTCATGCAACATTGGCTGGATTATCATGAAAGTGATGCTTAATTCCTCTGTTGTGTCTTATCAGATGGAGCACAATTTCAATTTGCCTCATTGCTGATTATACTCTCTTTGTGTAAGGTGGTAGTGGCTTGGCTTTTCCTTTGTACCATGTGTTATTACTATTTTATGGGGAGATATTATGCAAATACTCATATTCTGATACTTGTCAAACTTTCTATTATTCTTTTATGTGCATCAGAGCTGTAGTTAAGTGCCATCAAGTAGATTCTGACCCATAGCAATCCTATATAGGGTTTCCAAGGAGTAGCTGGTGAGCATGAACCGCCGACCTTGCAGTTCTAACGGCTTTGCAGTCTTGCTCATCAGCCCACAGCACCACACCATTATTCTTTTATGTGCATCAGAGTAGACTCATGATTTTTAATTCTTGTTGACCAAAGTGTCCTACATTTATCAGTCGAAACCCTTTCATTTTAGATTCTGTGTCTTTCTGAAACATAGTCAAGCAAGATTATATATTAATCATTTGACGAATATGTTTGACAAGGGACTTGTGTGAACTGAACCCTCCATATCTCCATGAAGCAATGGTTTTTTTGCTGGGTGCTGTGGAGTCGGTTCTGACTCATAATAACTCTGTATAGAGTTTCAAAGAGTGGCAGGTGGGTTTGAACTACCTATCTTGTAGCTGGCAATGCAGTGCTTATCTTGGACTCTGGGCAGTGGTTTAGTATCTGTAATTCAGTGTTCATGGTGATTTTATGGAACACAACTATCATCCACTGTGAACTTTGTTGCTTTCAGGCACACACAAAAGTGTTCCACACTTGTATTTTCCAGCCTCAGACCTGGAATCAGTCATTTCTTCAAGTGTACCTTATTCCTTGTGGTGAAAAATGGTACTTAGAAACTAAGATCTGAGTGCTTAAGTATTCATTGCTATTAGGTTGTTTCTGCTCCTAGGTCTTCTGAGTAGGCAGAACAAGAAAATACGTATACATACACAAAATAGCTTCTATAGTTTTGTATATATTGGAAACTCTGATGTCACATCATGCCTGGGAGAGATGGACAATAAGCATAGAAGACCAAAGAAGAATTGATGCCATTGAATTTTAGTTAGTGAGGAATATTGAATACATTATGTACTAACAGAATAATGGAATCCTGGTATGGCACTGTGGGTTAATGCATAAGACTGTAAAGCATTTGAACTTCAAGGTTGGCGGTTCAGACTCACCAGCTACTCTTCAGAAACCCTATACAGGGTTGCTATAGATTGGAACTGACTCAACAGCACTTCACAACAACAACAACTCATCATTTACCTCCTTCCAGCATCTGACTCCAATCTGCGATATCTCATCTCACCTGGTTACACCTATCTGTACATCAGTAGCAACCCATCACCTGCTGGGCATTTCTCTCCAAAAAATGGCACTTAACAACAACTAGAATAATGGAGTCCTGGTACAGTTCAAACTCACAACTCTCCCTTCAGAAACCTTACACAGGGTTGCTTTGAATCGGAACCGACTTGACAGCATTTACCATCATGAACAACAATCTTACGACAGCAGATTGTCAGGTCATTTCTCCTACTGAAGAGCTGGTGGGTTTAAACCATCAATCTTTTAGTTTGCAAGCAGTGCTTACCCATTGTACCAACAGAGAATTGTTTCTGAATAATCTCTTTTCTACACAAAGGACACCGGCAAGGATACATTTCTCTAAAATCTTACAGTCCCTTTAGATTTCACACCCTCAACTTCAATGTCATGGTGTTCATAGTGCCCAGGTACATAATATGTTAAACATTTTTATATGTTTTTAATCATCTTATGGGATATTTCAAAATTTATTTACTCATTTAGTAGTTTTGAAAGACTTATCTTTATATTTCTTTATGCTTTTCCTTCAATTTGACATCCATCAATGATTTGCAGGCTGAATGTTCCTTAGAAGTAAGGATGGTGAAACTGTGTGTCTAAACTTTGGGCATGTTATCAGGAGAGACCAATCCTTGAAGTAGGATATCATGCTTGGTAAAGTCACTGGTGAGTGAAGAAAAGAGAAACCCAATGAAATGAATGGACACAGTGGTTGCAACAATGGGCTCAATCATAGAAACAATTGTGAGGGTTATGCAGGACTGGACAACGTTTTGTTCAGTTATATACAGGGTTAATGTGTATTGGAACCTACTTAAGGGCACCTAAAATATTAACAACATCAACAATACTGGAGTTCCTGGATGTTGCAAATAGATAACTACTTGGATCCTAACCAAAAAGTTGGAGGTTTGAGTCCACACAGAAATCACTAGGGAAGAAAGGCCTTGCGATCTCCTTCACGATTTTCTACAATTGAAAGCACATTTCTACTCTGACACACATGGGGTCAATGTGAGTTGGAATTTACTCAATGGTAACTGGTTTGGTATTGATTTTAGGAGATATCACTGTCAGATGGCATAAGGTTTGTTCTAGTAGATTTGTCAATAGTAGAAACTGAAATGTTTTTGTTTTGGAAAATCTTAGCTAAGAAATATGGTACTAATTACTAATCTTTGAAGTAGCAACAAGATTTTTCTCTTGTGAATGCTTGACATCTGCATCAGTATTCTAGAAAACAACAACAACAAAAACTTTAACTGAGATTAAGAGGCTATCGGTACAATAAAAAGACAGTCAAGAAAATGGTTTTCTTTCTATTTTTTAAATTTAATTTTATTATTTTAATTGTCCTTTCAGCTACATGAATCATTTATTATTCTAATTTTCTTCTGGTGACTGGAAACTGGATTCATTTAAACTCCGTAAACAATTAGAGATCATCCAACATGTTGATCATTAGGTCTTTCTTCTGGAAATGTGGTCAAAAATGACAACTTGTATGTAGAGGTCTGTTTGGATAGGTGTTCGAGTAGAGTTGTCACCTGGTTGAGCCTAAAATAGATGAATTACATTGTTAATTAGACAAGTTTGTGAAAAGAATTGACATTAAATGGATTATCTTTTTGCATCAATATTAGGGGAAACAGACTCCTGATGTGGTGCTGTAGGATTAGTATTGGACTGTGAACCATGAAATTGGCAGTTCAAACCTACCAGCTGCCCCTTGGAAGCCCTGTATAGGGTTGCTATGGGTCAGAACTGACTTGATGGCACTTAACAACAACAACATTGGGGGAAACACAACTAAAAATGTTGTGACCATGAAGAAATTTAGGAGATTTTTCCCCTATATTCCTTTTCTCTGGAGCAGTGATGATTCTGATAGGAGCTTTTAGGCCCTGGGTGGTGGCACGATAGAAAATATCTAGGATCAAAGCAGTGCCCAGGCTTATGCTTGTCTAGACTCTACTGAATCAAATGAGTCACTAACTCTACAGAATCTCCAGTGAAGGGCTTTGCAAATACATGTGGTTAAGAGGTAAGAAGTCAAAATGAATTCTATCTTGATTTTAAATTTATCAAATAGAAATGTGTCACAAGTTTGGAATTGGGTTAGACTAGCAGAAGTTCCTGTGTGCTCATGGAAGATATCATGAAGAACTTTTCACCAGTTTTAAAACTATTGTTTTACTTTTTCCTTTTTGAAATGATAATCTTTGCAAAACAATTTAGTCCTTTTACCTTTATTAAGGATACTTTCTAATACATACAGGCTCCCAGGAAGCTCCTAATGGAATAATGGTTTGCTAATAAGGTGTTGGTAAGGAGAGAAATTAGAAGTTTTGTGGTACTGTGTTGCTAATCAAAAACATTGCCAGTTCAGACTCCCCCAGTGACTGTGTGCGAAAGACCTGGAGATCTGCTCCATTACAGATTAAACCAACAAGGAAAAAATTATGCTAAAAGACTTAGAGAACATCAATGAGTGGAAAGTACAGTTGGTCTTTGTTATTTGCAGATTCCATAATTATGAATTTGTCTGTTTGCTAAAATATATTCATAACCCCATTGCCTTAGCTTTTGCAGACATATGCAGAGCAGTAAAACATTTAAGTTGCCTGATGAACTTTCCGAGGTTGAGCAAAGCATGCTCTGCCTTCTTGTTTCAGTTTTCATAATATCAACAAGTGTTTTTTTTTTTGCCACTCCCCCCGCACCCATATTTGTGCCTTATGGCAGTGATTTAACTTTTTAAAATGGTCTCTAAGTGTAGTACTGCTGTCCAAGTGTTCTTAAATGTTAAAAGGTACGATATGCCTTAAGGAGAAAATGCATGTCAGATATGCATGTTTTATATTGCCATTGGTCATGAGTTTAATGTTAGTGAGTCAAAAATATATATTAAATAAGGAGCCACTCTAGGATAAGCAGTCAACTACAAGGTCAGTTTGCACCACAAGACTGACTGTTCAAATTCATCAGCCACTCCTCCAAAACCCTATACAGGATTGCTATGGGTGGGAACCGATTGAATGTCACTTAACAACAACTAAAGAGAAACACAATTGCTGCTGTTGTTGTTGTTAAGAGCCATAGTCATTTCCAACTCATGATGGTTGTTGTTGTTGTTGTTGTTGTTAGGTGTCATCATGTTGGTACCAACTTGTAGCGACCCTATGCACAACAGAACGAAACACTGCTCAGTCCTGGGCAAACCTCACAATTGTTGTCACACTTGAGTCCATTGGTGCTGCCATATTGCCAATCCATCTCTCTGGGGATCTTCCTCCTTTTCCCTGACCATCCACCTTACCAAACACGATATCCTGAGAAGGATATTCTCTTGTCTCTCCTGACAATATGTCCGAAGTATGAGAGACAAAGTTTGGCCATCATAGTTAAAAGGACCACTCTGGCTGTACTTCTTGCAACACACATCTGTTGGTTCTTTTGGCAGCCCATGGCACTTTCAATATTCTCCTCCAACACCGTAACTCAAAAGCATCAATTCTTCTACGGCCTTCCTAATTCATTGTCTACCTTTCACATGCATATGAGGTTATTGAAAATACCATGGCTTGGGTCAGGCGCACCTTAGTCCTCAAGCTGACATATTTGCTCTTCAACACTTTAGAAAGATCTTGTGCAGCAGATTTGCCTAATGCAATGCATCATGTAATTTCTTGACTGCTGCTTCCGTGAGTGTTGATAGTTGATCCAAGAAGAATGAAGTCCTTGACAACTTCAATCTTTTCTCCAATTCATAACGGCCCTGAATAGGGTTTCAGTAGAGCTGCTGGTGTGTTTGTACTATTAACCTCGTGATTAGCAGCCCAGTGCTGATCCTACAGCACCACATCAGGATACAGACAAACACAATAGTCATGATCATACTCTTTTAGAAAAATTACCTTGTAAACATTGAGAGACTTCCTTTCACTTGACTACGCAATGGATTCACCTGGCAGCTGAATAATGTACATTGTTTGGGAAGGGTGTTCATGCCAAGGACTTAAATCCACACCCATATTTTCTTTCTGAAAAGTGTTAGATAGCAAGTAACCATCAAACTTCAGTTTTATTAATTTTGTTTCTTTACATGTTTATCTTTTTGTTAGTTTTCTTTCATTGTCTCCTTTTTTTAAAAAAAATTGTTTCTGATAATTTATTAACAATAAATTATTTCCTAGTAGAGAAAGCTATGTTCAGGAATTTGGATTTATGACATAATCATTATGTCATATATGTAAATGGATGAATGGGTTAAGAGATTTTTTATTGGGCGGCAGAAAATCTGGTTTATCAGTATCTCTCTGTATGCTTGTGTATATTTTAGATCAAATGAAGAAGTTTGTGCCCAAGCAGAATGCAAGACCGTATCCAGAGAAGCAGTGATACCAGAAATGGAGGCAGAGATGAGGATATGGAGAGAGGGAGCAACTGAAGACTCTGCACTCATGAAAATAGAGGGACTAGGTGCTTGTGGCCAGGATGCAGGCTTGCTGCCCTTTGTTATTTAAATTATTATATATTCCTGAGTGTTTTTGTGTACATCCCCCCTCCAAAAAAAAAAAAAGAGGGAATAGGGATTAGAAGCAAATACTGTTGAATGATGATGTACAGAGGAGATTGTAATCATTGCAATGAAACTGTGGTGTAAAGCTGATGTTCTCCCATGTAAACGATCATTCAGTTCACAATAAAAACTTAAAAAACAAAAAAGAAGTTTGTGGCAATCAGGAAAGAGAACAGCTAGCTCATTGCAATATGAAATAGTTAAGGTTTTCTTTTTATGGTGTTTGTTTTTGGTGTATCACTATCTATGTGTCTGTAGGCTTATAATTTGGAGATAATTTTACTTCTTGTTCTACTAATAAATTAGATTTAAAAATCTCCCAAACTGAATGAACTATAAGTTGATTGGCCTTTGAATATAGAAAAGTTATTTTTAAATTTAGTATTCATAAAATTCAAATAAAATGAGAAAATTAATTATATGATACTTTTAATGTGCTGTGCTTACAGTTATTCTGACAGAAACTTAGAAATAATTTGAAGATTTAAGTTGCGGTAGTTAAAGTAAATCTTTGATAAGTAAGAATAGTATAATAATTTTGGTTTAACAGCTGTGTCTTCACTAATTTTTCAGTTTTATGTATAAGTGTCCTGGATAAGCACTTGACCCCAAGGTTGGTTTGAACCACAAGGTCGATGTTTCAAATTCACCAGCTACTTACTTCTCAGAAACCCTATACAGGGTCACTATGAATCATAATGAACTTTACAGCAACCAACAAAAACATGTATAAGTGTACATTTTATTCAACTTGGATTTATATTTCTTACACTTATTTGATTTTATTAAGCATATCCCTAAACTTAAACTTATTGATTATTGATTTAACATTACACCCACAAAATACTTAAGATAACATAAAATGGTAATTTGTGTCCAACTAAATTTAGTCATTATTCTGACAACTTTATTTCAATAGTAAATTGTGTTTTTCAGTATATCAACTTAAATTCCCCTGATCTTTAGGTAAGATAAAATCTTGAGCTAATATTCAGTTTAGTTATATAATGAATACTCATATGATATATAAATCTTTTTCTACTAGGATTGTTGTTGTTAAGTGCTGTCATGTTGCTTCTGACTCATTATAATCCTGCATAAGTTTTCCAAGGAGCTAGAATATTGAAAATTTGTTACTAAATTGATTATTAGGCATTATTTAAGTGCTTTTGTTTACATCCTGTCAAAAGTTCATGTATTTGGGTCATATTACTGGGCGTGTTCATTTTTCTCTCATTAAAAAAGGAATGTATATAATTCTTGCATTTTAAAGTGTTTTTAAACAATAGAAATGAGTTAAAAGTTATAATTAATTTGTGCAGTTAAAATTACATTTGGGTGGAACAGTAATGACAAATTCTTACCATTGTATGTACTATTGTGTTGCAAGAGGAAAGTAGTAGTTTTCAGATTTTCTTTTTATTCTTCATCTCAGGCCCACTGGACAGTCTTCGGACACACTGATGACCCCCCTAAATTTGCATTTGTGAATTGTTTTTGTTGTTAAGTGCCATCAAGTTGGTTCTGACTCATAGCACCCCTGCATAGGGTTTTCGAGGAGTGGCTACTGGGTTTGAACTGTTGACCTTTTTGTTAGCAGCACAGGGCTCATCCTACATTGTCAGACCAAGACACCATATTGTAAGTTAATACTAAGAAATTGTAAACTAGTTATTAATTTACAAATCTATTACATGTTAAGAAGTAATATCTTCATATTAATATGAAAATTGTTTTGAACTTATGGATTGCCTGGTACTGTTGTGTTATGAAAAGCAAAATGAAGGACAAAATTTAGAAGTGAAACTTATTTGCTTTGATTTCTGTTGCTTGAGTTTGAAAGGAAACTATGAAATGTGCTAAGATTTTAGTAAAGTTTATCCAATCTTGATGGATTCGATTTCCTGGTTTACAGATAATTATTTTGCTTATCATATGAAAGGTTATTTTTAAAGTCTTCTTTGTCATCTATCTA